CTAATCATAGCTTATATACTGTAAGTCAACACATCCCAGACTCTCAAACCAGTGTAACGTTATTATAACTAAATGAAACAGTAACGTTACATGATCAACAATAAACCTGTTTGTAGACAACGGGCAGCCAGCGTAAATGATTAACGTTACGTTAATCGACCACCACAAGTTTGGCAATTAAACAAACGCTCATTCATATTTCATAAGGAAGACAATCGGAGTTAACCTCCCGTAACGTTAGGTAGCTAAAGCAATAAGCAAGCTAACGGTAGATGGTCAATGCTGAGCTAAACATGTTTACTCACCTCTCAGGGTGCGTTTTCAGATGCCTGATAAAATTAGATGTAGTTGAGCCAGAATCTTTTATCGTGATACCGCATATTTTGCATTGAGCGCTTCTTTTGAACGCGTCTTGTTTGAAGTTTTTGAACCCAAAGCTAACGATGAATGGCTCAGCAGCGGCCGATGCAGTCGAACTTTTTGTTTGTTATCCTCTCATGTGCGGTCGCGCGCGCGCTGCCAGCAATAGGCCACGTAGTACGTGATTACGTAGGCAGGTTATAGGTAACGGAGGGAGGGGGGTAACAGCGAGCTCATCAGACGTTTCCTAAAAATAAACATTGTTCACGAGTCCCGCAGCTCGAGTCCGAGTCGAGTCTGAAGTCTTTCGAGGACGAGTTTCAAGTCGAGTCTGAAGTCACTGTGTGTGGGACTTAAGTCGCACTCGAGTCCGAGTCTCAAACTCGAGTCCCCATCTCTGCATCAGAGCAAGGCGGACCGCACTCGGACACATTTCTAACCGGCATGCATCTCGCGCTGATCACCGGTGATCGGTTCTGCGTAGAGGGGTTTCACCAACATCACGTTCTGGGCGGTAACCCGGATGCGCGGCCATTATGGAAACACTCGGATGTAAACAACAGCATGGATTGCACTGTTTATGTAGCCTACTACTGAACACATTGTTACACTAATAAACCATGGGAAAAAAACACGTGGTAGGTGCGAAATCATATAGAGAAGGACTTGGGAAGCAGGAGAGAGCACAACATTTTGACAAACTAAAGTTAATATGTGGTAAAGATCCGAATGAGTTAGCTTCTCTAGCACGTAACATTACTGCAATTCTTCCATCTATTTATTATCCCGAAATAAGATACGTTCAGATTGTCAGTCCAAAAAAGCACATGAAATCCGTTTCAAGTTACATCCATATGTGGTTTGAAATCCTATTCAAATCACATATCATCAGCCTCAGTCTGAACGATCGGATTTCGCGTGGTATGTCTTAAAATGCAAACGTCATTTATAGGAAACATGCTGAAAGTCACTGCCGAAACAATGCTGTGTTGTTGCAAAGTGCCGGACGAGCAGAAAAGTATTATTTCTGGAACCAGCGCAGACGAGCGTGGGAAAAAAGCAGTACATGCCAGCCTTCTACAGTTCTGCCGCAGTAGTCCAGCGCGGCGGCTACACTTCCATGTTGTAACATTTAAATAAGACAACATCTAACATTATATTGCAAATGCAACCCCCTCCATCAACGCAAAGTCATTGCCATATTACCAAATAACATGCATGGACACACACGTCGGATCTGAACAGTTGCGATACACAGTGTGGACATAATTTTAGATCAGATTCCAATTTGATACAAAGATAATCGGATTTGGACTGACAGTGTGAATGTAGCCATAGTTAACTACGTAGACATTTTAGCCATGGTCAACGCTTCATTTACACGTGTCTGATGCTGTACCTCTCTCAACCACAAACGCCTTCTTTCATCAGTTTTTTGCACTCTTCTCTTTAACTTTTGACAGTCTATAGCACTCGACATGTTTTTTCCCGATGTGACCGATTGGTACAGACCAAAACTCGACCATTTTTCAGCAGCAATAATCAGCCAAATTTGCGAGTCCATTCAGTTCAGTGGCATTATTTACGTTCTGTGTCTCCAAAATGGCCGACTTCCGTATTGATGACGCGTCGTGAAACCCCTCTATTGATATGCTCATTCATTCATTATCGCGATATAATTTTTTCGATAAAACAATATCAAGTTCGAGTCAATATCGAGTTCGATAAATGTTCGATAATGTTAATGTACCAAAAGCGGAACGGAACTCCTTTGAACCGCACGCGCCTCACGGACTGTTTATCCGCTCGGCTCAAAGTCCAAACGGCAGCGCAGCGCGAGCTCACTAGAGCAGACTCGTTTACTCTGATCGGCGCTTCAGAACTCCTGACCTGATATTTAGATACACTATTCAATAAAAATATTTGTTTGACAGGGAAGCTGTGCGCAAACAGGAATATATATTATTTTTCAAAAATAAAAAAAGCACAGAAAAAAGCAAGTGGTACTCGATGCAGAGCCAAATAGGAGGAGCTAGAGCTCCAGCTCTTCCCCTCGCTGGAGCTCTAGCTCCACCCAGACCCGTTTTTCAACGGCTCTGGCTTCACCTCACTGGATTTAGTGGGCGGGGCCGCCCAGGCGCAGGTTAACTTTCGCGATAAACATGACCGCGCCCGCGCTTCCATGATTATATTATATAATTATATTATATATAATAAATATTATCATAAATAAACCTAAGTAACCATGGCGATAGCGTTTCCACCTAAAATTGCGGCGCCTTCCCGGCATGCACCTCATTCTCTATTAGAAATATCCCATCCCCCACAAGAGGTACGCAGTTAAAAAGTTGTTTGCCAACCGCCATTAAAAATCCAAAAGAAGAAGAAGAAGACAGTGGTGCGTAGTTACTTATTTTAATTAAATATTTGTTTAGTCTTACAAATGCATCCGACAATACTTTTCCGAGGACAAGACCCCCTGCGGTCTGTCGAGAGATGCACAGTGTGCTGCATGAAATTTCATTGTGCATTCTGTAAAACGGTGTATAACCATTTACACGAGCTCCGAAACCATGTAGCTAACCACATGGGAAATGCAGTGCAACAAGAAGGTATGTGAATTATTTTAATTATCCTGTGTGTGAAAAAACATGTTTGTTGAACATTTCTGTTTTTGCATGTCATAGTAATTTCTTCCTAGCATTTAAAATAATAATTTAATATTTTATTTTGTTGTGAAACCTTTGGGAAGTCTTAATTTCAAATACTTTACTTCAGTTATTGTTGCTTTAGTTTTTCTGTATTACATTATTTAGTTTGAATAATTTTAAAAGTTAAAAACAAGTATATAAATACTACATGTCAATAACTCTTCAAGGGCTGATGTAGAGTCTGTCAGGTATTTGTTCCACCCACACTGGCCATAGTGTTTGATGGGAGTGCGGTAAAACATATAAAATAAAATATAAGGATCTTAATGTTGTTGTGCTCTTAAGCAAGGCATCACACAACCTATTCACAGGCGATTCACTGTATTAAACATGTAAAAAAGACAATTGTGCTAATTTATTATTTCTACGTTTTAGATTTTATCATCATCAAGTGTGGTTTGAAGTGCAGGCAATCACCACATTTTCACTGCTGTTACTGTTCATCAACCTTCATCAGACGCGATAGTCTTATTACACATTTAAAAATGTGTAAAAATGTGGCATCTGGACAGCCTCCAGCATCAGCATCAGCAGCTCTATCAGCAGCTCTATCATCAGCATCAGCAGCTGTATCACCAGCATCAGCAGCTCTATCACCAGCATCAGCATCAGCAGCTCTATCACCAGCATCAGCATCAGCAGCTCTATCACCAGCATCAGCATCAGCAGCTCTATCACCAGCATCAGCATCAGCAGCTCTATCACCAGCATCAGCATCAGCAGCTCTATCACCAGCATCAGCATCAGCAGCTCTATCACCAGCATCAGCATCAGCAGCTCTATCACCAGCATCAGCATCAGCAGCTCTATCACCAGCATCAGCATCAGCAGCTCTATCACCAGCATCAGCATCAGCAGCTCTATCACCAGCATCAGCATCAGCAGCTCTATCACCAGCATCAGCATCAGCAGCTCTATCATCAGCATCAGCATCAGCAGCTCTATCATCAGCATCAGCATCAGCAGCTCTATCATCAGCATCAGCATCAGCAGCTCTATCACCAGCATCAGCAGCTCTATCATCAGCATCAGCATCAGCAGCATCAGCAGCTCTATCACCAGCATCAGCATCAGCAGCTCTATCACCAGCATCAGCAGCTCTATCATCAGCATCAGCAGCTCTATCACCAGCATCAGCATCAGCAGCATCAGCAGCTCTATCACCAGCATCAGCAGCTCTATCATCAGCATCAGCAGCATCAGCAGCTCTATCACCAGCATCAGCAGCTCTATCATCAGCATCAGCATCAGCAGCTCTATCACCAGCATCAGCATCAGCAGCTCTATCATCAGCATCAGCATCAGCAGCTCTATCACCAGCATCAGCATCAGCAGCTCTATCACCAGCATCAGCATCAGCAGCTCTATCACCAGCATCAGCATCAGCAGCTCTATCACCAGCATCAGCATCAGCAGCTCTATCACCAGCATCAGCAGCTCTATCATCAGCATCAGCATCAGCAGCATCAGCAGCTCTATCACCAGCATCAGCATCAGCAGCTCTATCACCAGCATCAGCAGCTCTATCATCAGCATCAGCATCAGCAGCATCAGCAGCTCTATCACCAGCATCAGCAGCTCTATCATCAGCATCAGCAGCTCTATCACCAGCATCAGCATCAGCAGCATCAGCAGCTCTATCACCAGCATCAGCAGCTCTATCATCAGCATCAGCATCAGCAGCATCAGCAGCTCTATCACCAGCATCAGCAGCTCTATCATCAGCATCAGCATCAGCAGCATCAGCAGCTCTATCACCAGCATCAGCAGCTCTATCATCCGCATCAGCATCAGCAGCTCTATCATCAGCATCAGCAGCTCTATCACCAGCATCAGCAGCTCTATCACCAGCATCAGCAGCTCTATCATCAGCATCAGCATCAGCAGCATCAGCAGCTCTATCACCAGCATCAGCAGCTCTATCATCAGCATCAGCATCAGCAGCATCAGCAGCTCTATCACCAGCATCAGCAGCTCTATCATCCGCATCAGCATCAGCAGCTCTATCATCAGCATCAGCAGCTCTATCATCAGCATCAGCAGCTCTATCACCAGCATCAGCAGCTCTATCATCAGCATCAGCAGCTCTATCATCAGCATCAGCAGCTCTATCACCAGCATCAGCAGCTCTATCATCCGCATCAGCATCAGCAGCTCTATCATCAGCATCAGCAGCTCTATCATCAGCATCAGCAGCTCTATCACCAGTATCAGCAGCTCTATCACCAGCATCAGCAGCTCTATCATCAAAAAGATTACGTGTCCGGCAGCAAGTAAGGGTGACTTGCACACACTGTGGCATTAAAATAAATAGAAGAAACTTGCTGGTTCATATGAACCGAAGACACAGGCAAAGGGTAGAAGATATTACAGCAAAGCGGCACCTATCATGCCAATGCATTGATCCCAAAAATGGCATCTTTGCTGTTGATAAGTCGTTTTTTAAACCATGCTCTCCTATACACGTTAAAAAAAAAACATGGGGTGCAAGCCAGAAAATAACCTGCGAATTGGACGAATGCAATGCAAATGCTGAATTTGCAGTGAGGAGTGGAATTCTACCTTATGAGTGCAATCATCTCAAGTCATTGCTCTTCTGTCCCCGCTCAGAAACTGCACCCATCATTTTAGATGAGGAGACATTGACAGATATGGTTTCTTGTAGGTTTTTTGGGGATGCAAGGAAGCAGAGTTGCTTAAACCAGCAAAAGGCATCTACTGATGCAGGTGTTCCACTTTCTGTTGAGGTGACTGTTGGAGGGCCTCCATCCAAAAAGTTAATTTCAATATATGAGCCAAAAGTGTCATACTACAGCAGACTGGGCAGGGTAATAGCTGCATATGATTCAAAAAAGAAGTCTTGGCACTGTCCATGTGCCAAACCAAGACAGTCATGTCTTCATAAATCAATTGCAAAATGGCATCTTTTTAGTACTGACCGACATCTGTTCATGACTGCCGAGAGTGATATAAGGCCAGATGCAGTTGTGAATAATCAAGAGACTGATTCTGTATGCGAAGCAACGCCAGGTGGAGATGGGGGACAAGCATATCCTCCTGATGATGCAGGCCTTCAAAGGATGGTTCACTATTTAATGCAAAAAAAAGGTCTTCCTGCCCAACTACCCCAACATTTGGTCACTGGTTCCAAATCTTTGCAAGATCTTCCAAGTCAGTTGATACCAAAAGAAACATCATGCGTGGAGTGTGCCGGGCAACTTACTGAGCCAATGCTCATAACAGCACATGCCAAACTTGTCACATATACTGGTGTTGTAGAAGGTGAGACATGTCAAAATATACATAATCCATATCATCTTAGCCATACCAATTTAACTAATGTTTTTTTTTTTGCTTTTGTTTTTTAGGCTTTTCTACATACTGCAGGGCATGTCCTGACTGTGGGCTGATGTACAGATATCAAGAATGGAGTGATGGAATTCACAATTTCAATGACCATATGCTCATTACCCTTCATTTGTGTATTGTACTACGTACATCAATTCAGGTAAGAACACATTTAGTGTTTTACTGTTTTTATTTTTTTGAATATGTGCCTTACTATGTTTTATACTTTTTTAGACTCACCATTCTGTAAGCCGAGCAATTGAAGTGCTTGAGCAAACAGAAAATAAGACCTTCCCTAAAAAAGCCACAATACTCCACGCCTACATGCACTTTGAAGCCATGACCTCACACAACTATTTATTTTCTTGTTACAAATGTGGATACTATCCACCAGTGGTGGTCATGGACCTTCACAGAAAGGGTGTATTCAATATGCCTGGTAAGCAACAGAACAAACAGCTTTTGATGAATGAAAGAAAAGTTACGATTTTTTTTAATACCAAGTCTAAATCTGCAGTAAGTGAAATGGAGGCTCCACCAGCACACTTTGATGGCACTGTCGATACCAAACAATTTTGGGACTCTGTGATGTCTGAAATCATTTGCAGTGGATTACTTGCTTGTAAGTCTACTTAAAGTATAGGTCTTGTCTGTTCCCCACAATATTGCAGTAATAGTATTGTGATATAGACTTTACATGTTACTACTACTATTTCAAGGTGGCCGAAAGAACCCGTTTGTGGTTGCTCCAAGTTATACCAACTGGGCTCCTTGGATTGGACCAAAAACTAGAAGGGATGACACCGTTTTTAACACAGAACATGAAAAGTTTCATGCACCAAGACAGGCTACTGAAATGGCAGATCACCAAATGACAGAGGAGAGGCTTCAAGATGCACTAATTAATCTCAAGGTAATGGCTGGTTACACTTATTATTTGATTCACTGTGTTTGAATTAAGCTAAGTATTATTTAAATATTGTAAAATAATAGGTGGACATGGTTCGAAATCTGTGCAAACAATGTGGCCTGGACTCAAAAGGCTCAAAAATGGACCTCATCCTAAGACTGCGGGATGAAATGAAGAACAGGTCATCTTACGACAAGATCTTTGAGAAGGTCTGGGGAGCTTCAGGTAAGATGCATCTTTCACTGAGCAGTTAGATCTGTAGTTGCATCTACAGTGTTATAAAGCCCTTCTGCCAGGAGAATGTAATGTGTGTAGCTCATGATGAATATTTGAAGACAGACATACAGTACAGGTTAGTATTTGCCACAGGATCTTAATCAAGGGCCATATTGAATAATACATTCATCTGTAGCTAAATATTGTTTAATGTACATTATTATTACATCAATTATGTGTTTTCCATAGGTGGTTGGGCAGTTGTTATGTGCCCCTGTGCAGTGGTATACTCAATCAAATTTAATTTAAGAGCAGAGAGTCCCAGAGACTATGCTGACATTTTGCTTAGCTGGAAGCACTTCCCAAACATTGCCATATATGACTTTGCAAGGGGACTGGCAACACACACCAACTTGAGGGAGCCTGAAATTAGTGATCGACCGATATATCGGCCGGCCGATATATCGGGCCGATATTTGCGGTTTTTACGTGTATCGGAATCGGCCGATATGCGGCTGCTGCGTTCGCCGATAGTTTTTTCCCGGCATTATTTATAGACAGGCGTCCACAGGCAGCTCTGTGCTGCTGGAGACGCTGCAGTTCACGTGCAGACCCTGCACTGTCCCTCCCCCACTAGCAGAGTGCAACCTGCGCTTCAAGATAACGGTAACTTTTAAACTTTCAAAGCATCTTTTAACTGTTTGACTGCTGAAATATTGTCAAACACTTTGAAAATGGAAACACGTTGCTTTATAACTGTTATGTGGTTGCAACTATATAGCTAAGCAAGTTTGTGGGTCCAAATGGAAAACGCGAATGACTCGAGTCTATAAAACTGCTTGCTTGCCATTGTATTTAGGGAGCTGCAAATAGCTGTAGGCTTCTCTGTTCAGTATGCATTAGGGCTGTCAATGAATATTCTAAATACGAATATATATTCGAATAGTTTAAAAAAAACTGAATTTTGAAGGTGAAAATTAATATTCGAATGTGGAAAAACACGCCCGCGGTAGCAGACTAACGTTACCACAGCACAGCTCGCTCGGAGCGCTCAGTGTCGGTTCTATGTAGCCTACTGTGAAACTTCAATTAATGTATTTGTTTCAATCACTGGATGAAGCCTGCTATATACCTTAAATTGCTTGCACAAAACTCTTGATCAGCACTCAACATTTGTTTGTTGTTCATTTAAACCGGTATGCGCGGAGAGCGTGAGGGTGAGTGCGAGAGAGAGAGAGAGAGAGTGCGCCTGCGAGTCCGGGCGAGCCAGAGTGAGCTCTGCGGTCTTGGCCATTAGATGATTTACTCGTTTTTTTTTGTAGTAATACGTTGTCAAATATGTTTAAACTCAAATAAGCTACTTAATACTAGTAGTTATGTCTCTTTGTATTAATTTGTCCTGTTATTGACGTAATGCGCGTCATTGACCAAATGCACGACGATATGCTCAAATATGTTTTTTTAGAGGGAATATACAAACGCCATTTGAGCAATTTTGACAGCCCTAGTATGCGTACGGTAGCTGTTACGAACACTGGTCATAGGATTAAGTAATACCAACATTGTTCCGTGCTTTTTGTGGGAGATTTATTCAGCGACCACCTGGCTGAGGTTTGGACGCGTGTGGTGTGTGTCTCCCTCGCCATCGCAGTGATATTAGAGACTAGACATGCTCATTTTATTTTATGTAGAAAAATTTAAACCATGGCAGTAAATAGTTCGTTACTTTTAAAATGAAGTAGTGTGCACTGTGCACTTTATTATGCTGGTTGCTACTGTGTGCAATAGTGTAATTATTTTATTTATGCTTAAATATTTATTTTCAGCAGTGAACTTTTTTTTGTTCTACCTCATGTTTTTAATATTTGTTAAATATTGTTTATCTACTTGTTCTTGTTCTACCTCACATGTTTTTACTATTTGTTAAATATAGATTTTTTTTACGTTAAATAAATGTTACTTTTATTAAATTGAGACCTGTAACATTTGTTAACATCATGTCATTTTTATGATGTAAATTGAGGGAGCAAAATGTATCGGCTCCAAATATCGGCTCAAGAAAATCGGCAGCCCGTATCGGTCATCGGCTAAGGCTGATGGGGAAAAATCGGTATCGGCATCGGCACTAAAAAATCCATATCGGTCGATCCCTACCTGAAATATTGCCATTTAGACCACATGAGGGGCGGCTGGCTGAAGCAACCACAGACAATCTGCAGCTGGCTGGTGAGGGAAAGCTAAAGGTCAGTTTACCATGGCTCAAAACAAAGAATACAGATACAGACGCAAACTGCCACCCAATCACTGGGACATCTGATCACTACACCCTTTATGACGTTTTCCATGAGAGGAATACAAAGGATGCTAGAGACGCCCTTCGAAGGATTGGACTTGTCCCAGAACTGGCTGGCTGGGTTAACAGCCAGTGTGCTGAGCAATTGTTTTCAGACATGAGGAAGAACAATTATTTTTTGAATACCCTCACACCCTCTGAGCACATCTTCATGATGCGGAACATACTGCACCACCACAACACAAAATGCAATGACAAAACTAAAGCTAGTATCCAGAAAGTAGTGGGCAAAGATGTTCAGCTGCAGTTGGATCACAACGGTCAGATAATAATGGGTAAATTATTTACACTTTTTATTTTGTCAGTTGTTTAACATTGAATGGTCATCTGTATTATTATCTTATAATCTGTACTGTTTTGGTTTTGTTTTCTTTTACTACAGGCACAGCTGCACAGATACCAACTGAAGCAGAGGAAACAATACAATCCAGTGAGTGACAGAAAACTACGTAAAAAGCAATAATGCATTGGAATTTAATTCAATTCAATTCAAATTTATTTGTATAACGCTTTTCACAATACATATTGTTTCAATACTGTTGTACCATGGTGCTTTAGTTTTCTCTCTAACCTTTTTCAATCTAATTGGTGCAACAATTTCTACTGTACTAAAGAAAATGGTGCTCAAACTGCTAGTCATTTCCTCTAGTTCATCTGTTTGTTTGGGTTCAGGCAGCAGCTGAGACAGATCAGATAAGCAATTTGAGAATCTATCTATCTATAATCTATCGACATTGACCAATAGATCTGAGAGAAAGTCTGCAAACTCTTTTAGGAAATCAGCATAGGGCCCTGGAGGTCTATATACAGTAGCCAAGGCTAGAGATAATAGGGATTTCTTTCTTACATCTAAGAGCGTAACATTTTAGCACAAGTACTTCAAACGAATTAAACTTGTCACCTGTTTTCTGAGTAACATTAAAGATATCTCTATAGATTGTTGCAACACCGCCGCCACAACCGATCAGACGGGGCTCATGCTTATAACAGTATCCTGGTGGACTAGACTCATTTAGACCGAAATAATCATTTGGTTTAAGCCAGGTTTCAGTGAGGCAAAGTACATCGAAACTATTATCTGTGACCATTTCGAATTTAACAGTATAGATCTGCTTTATCTTGGAGAATATTTCTTGATGCGTCATGTTTTCTACTGCTCTTGTTTTCACAACAGTAGTTAGATCAAGAAATTGTTTTAAAGAAATTTAGATTTTCTTGTGATTGTACACCACTTTTCTACAGCAATAAACAAGCTTTATTAAGACCATAAAAATTCATTTACAAATATGGATCTTCTCTTCAGACTGTCCTAGCCCATCTGACCTAGTTCAAGGTGTAGCAACAAGCCAGACAGATGAACAAGCAGGCAGGAGGATATTGGATGTTGACTATTTACCAGCACAAGAGAATGTGGTAATGTGTTCTTATTGCAGTGATTGTCATAAATATTTTTTTATCTTGATTACTTTTCCAGAAAACTGTTCTATTACATGTTTGTATGTTTTAATGAGTTATATAACAATGTTTATTTAATTTTATCAGCTGGCTTATGTCTTGGATGGAGCCAAAGATCCAAATGAGGAAGTACTTCAGCTCAGCCCAACTCAAACATTAAAAAGAAGCGACTTTTGTTCTTTTGCCTTTGATGAGTTAGAGGCAAGGTATGATGTTGATATTGATAACAATACTTTTGATTAAAACCTCCATACTGTGCATTTCCAGAAATAAAATGTACTGCATGCCTAAAAACATTCTAATGTTTGTCACTTCCCACAGTCAAGTCCCACAAACAGTCACCCAGGAACAGTCTGAGTCAGATGTCATGGAGATCACCCCAACACCAGATATCTATGTATGTAGAGGGAATGTTTATCTATTGCGTGATTTGTTTAATTATATTTGGCTTTCCTGTTTCATAAAAGTGTTTATAAGCAGCACTTCATTAATTACATTATTATTGGAATTATTATATTGCACACAGGCCTCCGCAGTGATGAGAAATATTCAGCTGGCCTGTGAGTGGGTGGAAGAGAGCCAACACCACTTTAGTGGGAAGATTGATCTGCCAAAGATCGTAAGGATGAAGATGGATGATGCCTTGTTGGCCATCACAATGCGGGACTTATTTTTAAAAAACTCCATGCGTTATGAAGGTGAAGCATATGAAGAAGAGATTTGGGCTCCCTTCCTATTTATTTTTCAAAGTGCAGAGGACATGGAAGTTTTCTTGCAGGAAATACGAGACAGAAGAAAAATCTGTGTGTCTTGTTTACACAACCCTCACTTGTGAATGTTTTTGCTACTCCAGTTTAAGGCTGCTCTTAGCTTTGCTGCACTTATCTGTGCTGTGCTGTTATGCATGTATTATTCTCTTTCAATGTTGTAGTTCTGTAAAGCACTTACAGTGGCTGTTGTAAAATGTGCTGTATAAATAAAATCAACTTGAACTTGAATCTACCAGTGGGGGGTACTATGTAAATAAATATTGATTGAGTTTTTATCTTATAACATTGTATCTAGATTTAGGATTAATTTTATGTTAGATGAACATTTAGCTAATTTAGGCTAATAGAAACAAATAAATCCAACTCAACAACTTGTGGGAGAGTGGAGTATGTGCTATTAAATTACATTTATCTTCTCCCAAATGTTGTTGGAATGGATGCCTCACTAATCTCAGCACATTTGTTATCTTGTTTTTCCTCTAGTGTGGGAAGTCACATGGCTGGTTTTAGAGTACTGGACTGCTTGTTTCCATTTAATTAAAATAGCTTAATGCATAGCCTTAAAAGCCTATCACAAATTAGTCAATATTCCATTTAAATGTACAATATAACTAAATAAAATTACAACTGGCCTGTTGGAGTAGCCTATGCTTTTACATTTACGTACAAAAAGCAGATTAGGTAACCTAGTCTTATTTTTTATTTCATAAATTAATTAGATGATTTAGATTAAATCACAAATAACACAAACGTTAATGCGGTGGACAAAAAATAAACGGGTGCACAGATAGTAAGCTTTCACATTGACTTTTAAGTCTAGTAATTTACATAATCATATAGCAGACGCTTTTGTCCAAAGCGGCTTTAAATGTGAGGAAAACAACGAAACTGTTCATCGTAATAAAGAGAAAATAATATAGGTACAAAGTTTCAACAGTTTTTAGAAACACACACACATAGTGTGAGCAATGTTTTTATTAAGTGTTTACGCGTTTGTCACACAAACGATATATAATTCATCATAATCATGACAAATATTAGAGAAAAATACAATATTATGTATGCCAGCATATTGCGCATCAAAACAAACTTGTCCTTGTTGAACTCGCACAAGGCTTGATAGCGCGTCATGTTCTGTCCAATAGATCCAGCGAGGGTGAGCTAGAGCTCTAGCTCCTCCCATTGGACGCTGCAGCGAAGCCCCACCCACTAAATCTACATAGGCGGAGCTGGAGCTCCAGGAAAGGTGGGGCTGGAGCTCTAGCTCCTCCCATTTGGCTCTGCATCGAGCACCA